TCTTTGGCAGAACTCGACCATCCATCGAAACCGGGTGAGCGTAGGGACGCTTTTTGATCGTCAAAGTACAGTACTGTGTTTTGGAAGCATTGAACTGTACAAGATTGTTGCGTCCCCAAGCAGTGATAGCCTCCAGGTTTCTTGTCAGAGAGGAAGTCATCGCTAGTCTTCTTTTTTCCAACTCAGCGGCAGAGATCGGCTTGTCACTCTGAATTCCTGCATGTAGAGTGCTGTCATCAGCGAAGCTGTGGATTGGGTTGATCGTGCAGGAAAAGAAGTCGTTGATATGTAAGAGAAACAGTGTCGGAGCCAAGACCGATCCCTGGGGAACACCCGCATTGACGTTGTGGGATGTAGAGGAGAACCCGTCAATTACGACGGATATCTTGCGGCTAAAGATAAAATCAGCCACCCATCTGCAAAGCTTTTCTGGGATGCCATAGGATGGAAGTTTGCTTAAGGGGGCAGCGTGCCACAGCTGATCGAACGCTTTCGTGATGTCAAGAGCAACGACATGAGCCTCACCATAAGACTGCATGAGTTTACTCCACAATTGAGTGACGTAAGCTAGGAGGTCCCCTGTGTACCGTTGGTGCCGGAAACCATACTGCCTGTCGCTAATCAAGCTGTGACGTTGGAGGTAGTCTAGAAGCTCGCGATTTATGCACCTTTCCATCACCTTACTTAAAACAGAAAGCAGAGCTATAGGCCTGTAGTTGTAAGGGTCGGTCTTAAATCACGTTTTTGGGATGGGTTGGACATGAGCAAATTTCCAGTTTTCTGGGAAGGTGCCGGATTCATAAGATATCTGGAAGAGACGCGAAAGAACTGGAGCAAGCTCCGCTGCAGACCTCTTCGGTACAATGGCAGGAATCAAGTCGGGACCAGAAGCTTGGTTGATGTCGAGCGACAAGAGCACTCGTCTTACGGTCTTATGCCTGAATGTTACCTCCCGCATAGTGTAAGGAACCCTTTGAATTGACGGCACTTGGGCGTTGGGGGGGGAGGACGCCCACGGTGGAGTTGGCAGCAAAGATCTTGGCTAGCACTTCCGCGTTGGCATTTGAGATTAATACAGTAGTTACATCCTGACACGTAAGTGGTGGAAGGCTACTGTGTGAGAAGTTCTTTTCAATCTGCTTGGCCAGCGTCCAGAAAGACCAACTGCCATTGTGCTACGACATTACCCTGTGCCTAACTTTTATATCGTGCTGGTTTTTGGAATTGCGAACCGCTTCATTATATTAGTTTCTAGACTCAACGTCGGCTTGTCTGTTGTTAAACCAGCCATTGGACCCTGGTCTAGGCACTTTCACTGTGTGAGCGATTATTCCTTCATTCCGACGTGGATAATTTCGGTTATCGAAGAACAGACAGAAGACGCATCCACGTCAGTGAAACAGACATCTTTCCAAGGAAAGCTAGAGAAGAAGTCTCTGAGCCCCTCCCAGTCGGCATGTACGTAATGTCAAGTTTTGCGGCCTGTACGAGTTTCTACTGCCAGAGCGGGTTCTGACCGAAACCTAACCTCCACAACACCGTGGTCTGAGTTACCCAGGGGAACAGGACAGCAGTGCTGTAAGGGACAGGATGCGTGGTTAGAAAGAGATCCAGCAGGCTACTGGCGTGTGACGAGACGCGGGGAATAAAGTAGGGCTCGTCATCAGCTGAGTCAGCCTTTGAGTAAGAGCAAACGCTTCGACTACACGACCTGCTGCATCGGTCTTGTTTGAGCCCAACCAAAGCTCATTATGGGCATTGAAATCACCGAGAAGAACTACCTCTGAAGCGGGATGATTGATGTTCAGGAAGTCGATTTGGATGGCGAGGTATTCGAGTAGGTCATCCCAGTTATGGTCCGAGGGAGAGCGATAAAGGCAGCAAATAAATTTTGGTGATGTTTTGGAGTTGAGGCGAAGCCAAAGAATGTCCTTTCATGTTGCATTGCTTTAGATGTTCTCAGCCGCACATCGCCATTGTTAGTGTCGCGGCTGAGAAATAGCCAGCTAGCTTAGACCATCCAACCACCTTACTGTTTAGATCACAGTAATAAATCCGAAGGCCACTAGCATGTAAAATAATAATAATAATAACAATAATATCTGGCCGGTTAGCCAGTAATGTCAAGCCCGCTACCGTAACGACGTAGAGGGTAGAGCCAGCTATGCAACGTCTGGCCTCGACCTACTAGTTGCGCTACTGTTATCAACTCCGGAGCATAATCAGTACGGCCAGCAAGCCTTCCCTTTACTCATGTGTGGTTTTTGTCTTCCTTCCGCACCTGAATTATAACGTAGTGAGTATACAATTATGTCTGCTCATAAAAAGAGATACACAATCACCCAGAAATGGAGTCAGATAATATGAAGCCTCGGAAGGATGAGATCCGCGTCCGGCAGGGCAAGTCACGGTCGGTCCGGCATCCAGCGAAACCCACCCTAACCAGCATCTGGTATGAAACACAACAACGCTTACTGGTCAGTACTGATGAGCATGTTGCTGAGGGACCCGGGTCCTGGTCCGTAGAAGACAGATGGCCCAGGTTACAGAGAAAAGAAGTAGGTATCTTGTATAAAAAAGTTTAGCAGATATCTGATAGTTTAAATGCAAGGGGAGGGTCTTTCTAATAAAAAATACATAAAAAGATACAGCCAGATATGCTTTGTTTTTTGTAAAAAATGAGAAAAGCTCAAAATGCAGAATTTTCTCGTGTAATTTTTAAATTAAATTTTATAAACAATCGGTAAACTGGAGGTTTTAGGGCATAAAAAGGCCTTCAACGTCATTTTTTAAGAATTAACATCGATAAACAATTAAGCTAAATACGGGGCTTTTTAGCAATACTAAATAAATATTTATAACTATTGCAATAACAATTGTAAGTGTAAAAAATTGTGAGAATGAGGAAGGACATCATTGGTTTTAATGTGTACGAAATTTCAGCCGGATCGGTTTGATAGCTTACGTAAAAAGCTATTTGCTTATCCCAGAGGTGAATTATTTAAATAACTGTTCTTGCCCAAGACGTGGCATGGTCCTAGAACAACAAAAGTGAGATGGATATTTATTTCAAAATTGTTGTTAAAAATGATGTTAAAAAAATATACAATTGTTATAGTTATAAACATTTACAATAACTTCATAATTATACTTCCCGTCACTTCCTCTAGATCACTATGTAGTTCACTCTTCGCCGCCAGGTGGAGCCACGCATTCCAAAGCTACACAAGATCCGCCCGGTGCAGCCCTCTTGCACCGCTGCGGAGTGTCAACGACTCATTACTCTTTTGCGTGCGATTGGAGTGACGTTGTTTCTGGACATTACCGGCATAATGAGTAAAAACGTGCGAAAACGGGCTAGGTCCCGCTCGGATACGTACTCGATTGCCAGTTCGGTGCTATTGCGTTTTGTAGATCTTCCGATTTCACTGTTTTTTCACTTGAAACTTATAGACGGTAGTCTTATAGATTATTTTAAAACAAGAAAAGTGTGGATGAACCACTTTTTTCATGAAAATTTTTACCCAAATCACTGTATTTTTAGCAGTTTTTCCACCATTTACTCCACCGCCATCCGCCGTATGACGTTGACGTCTGTGCATATGTCATAGTATATGAGAGGCGCTTGCCTGCACTGTTGCCAGATTGGGCTCCGCATTAAGGGGAAAGTATGAAAAGTGGAAAATTTATATACGTATATTTAAATAATGAAACACAAAAGCGAAAAACTGAAACAAACAACAGTGGCAAAATAAAAATCGATTCTTAATAATTATATAACAAAATATAACAGTAGTAAACTAAAAAACAATTGTAAATAATTATAAAAACAGTAAAACAAGAAACAATTCCATGTAAGTATAGAAAACAAAAAAGAACTGTGGGTCCTGGGCCTCTTCGATGTCTCCACGAAACGTGGGCACATTATTTATGTTCCAAATAGGAGTGCGACTACACTTGAGAGCGAAATACTAAAATTTGTCAAGCCGGGAACAGACATCTGGAAGGACGGTTGGGCCGGCTACAATCGCTTGGGGAACCTAGGAGGTGTTTCCCCCTACATCCATGAAACATTGAACCTCACACTAAATTTTGTGGATCCAGTGACAGGAGTGTGCACTAATGAAATTGAAGGGCACTGGTCTAGATTAAAGCAATTTTTGAGGCGAATATATTGACCAGTTGATTTGGTGGGGGCTCTATAGTCCTAGACCCGGAGACCGATTCAAAAATATATTGCGACAAATTGCCGCAAAGTATACCTTTTAATATTGAATAGTTTCTGTTCGTTTCAGTTTTTGGATTTGTTTTTTAATTTACTGTTTTTACTTTTTGTTTTTGTTATCACTTAGAATTGCTTTTTATTTTACTGTTTGTTGTTTTTTATATTTACATGAAATTGTTTTTTTTTTGTTTTACTACTGTTCTTTTTTTGTTACAACTTAGAATTGCTTTTTATTTTACTGTGTTGTTTTTTTGTTTTTTATAATTACATGGAATTGTTTCTTGTTTTACTGTTTTTATAATTATTTACAATTGTTTTTTAGTTTACTACTGTTATGTTTTGTTTTATAATTATTAAGCATCGCTTTTTATTTTGCCACTGTTGGTTGTTTCAGTTTTTCGCTTTTGTGTTTCATTATTTATTATACGTATATAAATTTTCCACTTTTCATATTTTCCCCTAAATGCGGAGCCCAATCTGGCAACAGTGCAGGCAAGCGAGTGCTTCATCCACACTTTTCTTGTTTTAAAATAATGTATCAGACTACCCTCTATAAGTTTCAAGTGCAAAAACAGTGAAATCGGAAGTTCAACAAAACGCAACAGCACCGCCAGTTCATCTGATGAGTGGCAGATATCATGTTAAAATTTTTCTCACAAAGTGTCTCGTCTCTAGAGGAAACGTAAACGACGCGGGCCTTCACCGGAACGTGACAACCGTGCAGATGAAGGTATTTCTCAACAGATAATGCGGCCTGCTTTGGGCCTTGTAAACTATGATACTTCCGCTTCAGAATGTAAGTTTTCCACTGATTGTTTCTGTATTGTACAACGTGCACAATGACAAAAAAAATAAGATCGCTAATAAAGAGTTTTGGTACACACAACTGATGTGGCCTGTAGACGTACCCATTTCATTCACTATTCTGGGTACTGCCGACGAGTTTCGACAAATGAGTTGTCAACGAGTTTTGACAAACACGACTATTTTACCACAGCGCCAACGAGTTTTGGCAAAGTATAAGGCATCAGGATTACTTTATTCTATTGTCAACGAGTTTTGACAAATCGTAAGGGCAGATACAGTGTGTTGTAATTTATTTCATTCATTGCAGCAGACGGAGTCACGGAGTTGCTGAGCGCAATGTTGCCGTCTCTACCGAAATTCCTGCGATCTTGGAGAGAAACACTGTTGCCACTTCCGACGAGTTTCGGGCACCTTTGGGTAAAGACAATGTTGCCGAGCGCGATGTTGCCATCTCTGATGAAATTCTGGCGCTCTTGGGGAAAAACAATCTTGCCGATCAGACTTCCAGAAATGATCTGAACAATGAGCTTGCGCAAATTTGGTCCAAAATATTACAGGAAGGTCTGTCTCCCGAGGTGCTAACCACTATATTGAGCAAGTATTCTCCGCTCAGTAATCTAAGCACTGCTACTGCTCCCAAACTCAATTTGGAGATCTTATCGGTTCTTACGGAACAGCACAAACAGCAAGATCTACGACTCGTTAAGCTTCAAGACCAGATGGGAGCCGCTTTGGTGGCAATTGGCAAAGCACTGATAATCCACTTGGAAAAAGGGGAGGGGGCACATACAAGAATCTTGGTTGAATCGCTCAGTAACGTAACTGTTGACGGTTGGTTGTTTGGACAAAATTTGGGTGATCGGTTGAAAGCAGCTCGTGAAATGGAGAAGTTATCGTCAAACCTCAAGCCTAAAGCAGTTAATGCCAGATCTACCGCTTCGGTAAATTTCAAGAGTCTGTCTCGAGCAAATGTCAAGGCAGACCCAAATATTCCCGGAAAACTTAGAGCCTCGAGGTCAAAAACACTCGGAAGATCTCTAGCTCAACCAAAGAAAATCGTCCAACTTATCGAACCAACTAAGCCCAGGCCTATCCAACACGGACCAGTTAGAGGTAATCTATAAATGTGAAAGGTTAAAATAGTTTTCACCGTCCTGGAAATCAATAACTTCAGATAAACTGCTGTTATGGGTCAAGGTTATCTAGTCCCGTTTTTCCAAACACCGTTTCAGAAATCTGCCCCTAAAGAACTGAAATGGTCATTAACAGAACAAAGATTTTTAGATGTTAAAATTAAGCGTATTTTGTCGCTGGACGCCATAAGGAAATTCTCTTTTAAACAAGGTCAATTTCTCTATTGTTTTAACACCCAAACATGACGGTTCCTACAAATTAATTTTAAATCTGAAAGATTTAAACAAGTTCATTATGTCAGAACATTTTATGATAGAGGATCATAAAACGTTGACAAGATTACTGCAGGAAAACATGTTTCTGGCATCCTTAGATCTCAAGGATGCCTATCACCTAATCTCAATACATAAACACCATCCTAAATATGCAAGATTTGTTTTCTCTGGGCAAATGTATGAATATACCTGCTCACCTGTCGGCCTTAACACAGCACCAGCAGCGGCTCGTGGTCTATGATACAGGGGGTTTACAAGTGGTATGAAATATTTTTTTTTGCCACCACCAAAATTTTTTTCTTATGCGTGACGTAGAAGGCAATAAGAGTACTAAAACAAACATCAACGACACATTTTTTGTTATTTTTTTTATTATACACAAGAAAAAACATTCATAAAAAATACAATTTTTTTAATGAGTACAGTGTTGAAACGTGAAGTCCATTCTCCTGTTTTTATTTGCAGAAAATGTATCAATAACAGCCTCGTTACAGTTTGGAATACCCGCTATACATTTTTTCTCGATAGATAGCATTGCTAGGGCTGACAGTCTCTCTTTATTCATAGAACTTCGCAAAAATGTTTTTATTCTCTTCAATGTCGAAAAGCATCTTTCACTTTCGGCCGTAGTCATTGGTATGGTAACAACGAATATGCAATGGAAAATGCTTTTCAAATTGTGGAAATTTATCGGAAGAAAAAAAAAAGCTTTCATTTAAATGTTTTGTAAAATACATGTGTAATTATGGTATCACAAACTTCCTTGACTGCTACAATTCTGCAAATATGCTGGTCTTCATTTGCACGACGCATTTTTGTTTGAGTAGTAGTGGTACCTTCAGAAATTTCAGTTTTTATTGTTTCCAAGCAGTCTCCCTTTTTGGATGCAGTTTTTAAAACACTTTATGGCAGTCTGATTATATAAAATATCAGCATGTGGTAATATTCGATGAAATACAGTCAGCCAGAACACAAACCTAGAATCTTGTAGCATACGGCCAATACCAGTGGCCTGATTGATGGTAACATTTTGTTTTGAAGTAGCTTCTATTTTTTCCATGCATTCTATTAACAATTCGCGATATTCATATACTGTATTTATAGATCTGCTTTTAAAATTCCATCTTGTAACAGAAGACCTAGGAACTCTTGCACCAACAATTTCACCCAAAACTGCAACTCATTGTGGAGAATGAGAAAAAAAAGTTGAAATATCGCTTAAATTTGAAAAAAATACCCGTACTTCTTGATTTTGGCTTGTAGCTTGGGATAAAATCAAATTTAGCTGGTGGGCATAACATGAATGAAATAAGCATAAATATAATCACGTTGAATAAGAGCTTGAACACCTCCATGACGTCCACTCATTACACTAGCGCCGTCATAACTTTGAGCTATCAGTTTCTCTGGTTTATCTAGTACTTTTATTGAATTAGTTTTCACACACTCTGAGAGACTAACTGCATCGTGGTCAGAGGGGGTAACAAAATTCCAAAAACATTCAACTGACCTTCCATTTGGTAGAATGTACCTAAATACTGTAGTCATTTGATAACAATTAGCTACATCCGTTGTTTCGTCAGCCATATCAGCAACAAATTCAGCTTCCAAAATTTCTTTTCTTATATTTTCCTGAGCCACTTGTAACATGCAATCTAACAATTCGTTTTGAATAATTTTTATACCCCTTTGAATACTGTAGATCAAAATGATCTTTAAGTGCTATATCTAATTCGGCAGTGAAATTTTTAAACCTCTAAAAATACCACGATTTGATGAACCATCTTTTTCGTCGTGACCGCGGAAGGGCTAATTCAAAAGCTGCGCAAAATTTTATGCATCAATAATTTTTGAAAGCACATACCTATTATTTCTAACTTGTTCATTTTACTGTTGAATACTTGGCCTATATGCACTATCCAACTGCTGCTGTATATGTACTTTTTCCAAAAGCTGCATTTCCAGTTGCGCATTGATATGGACTTGAGTATTTTCATGTTTCTGAATTTTTTGTGCTAAATGTCAAAAGCCGGCTACCTATTCCATTTTTTGTCCAGGCAGGCTGTGCAACCCGCGACCAAACAACAAACAGGAAAAACAAAACAAACGGTTTGTTGTGCTGCATCCGCAAATCCAGTTATTCTTTTCATATAATTATTTCCATTTTAAACTTTCTAATAAAGTCTCTAGATTTACCCTTTGTGGTCTGAGTTAAGTTAATTTCTGGTGTAGGTCTTCCCGCATTTTTTATTTCAATTTTTTGCTCTAAACTCAATGAACTGAAGTTATGTTTCAAATATTCCACATTGAAACCATTCATTTTAACTCAATATCTTATTAAAATACTGCTACGAACATAAAAATTCGAACACACCTCCAATTACTGCATAAAATGCACGCTCAACGGACAATGGCGCACTCTAGAAATGTCCGCCTTCTCCAACTAAAATTGCGATAACCCCGCTATACTCCGCAACCAGAACAGTAGGGAGAGACACACTAATCCCGGGTACATGATCGCATTCGTCGTCGTCCGCCGTCACCCGTCGCCCGTCGGTGGCAGTCGGACCTGGCCTCCTGGCCAGTACGAATCACCCGAATCAGGCGGCGCAGCGGTAATGCCCGGATTACATGAGGCTAGTTTTTCAAGCTAGGATAGCAAGCTAGTGCTTTTAAACTAGCAAGCTAGTAGTACTAGCTTCATGTATACAGAACTAGCTTCACGTATAGGCTAGTCAGAAAGACAGTAAGCCAACGCCTAAAGCTGGATATTTTTAATAGCATGGAGTTCTATTTTGTTAAGCTAGCAGCGTCCCCCTCCACTGATTTTACTATCCTGGCTTGTGTACCACCCTTGTCTGGCCGACAAAGCTAGTGTTTTCGAACGGCAAGTGCGTAGTGTCGACCTGTTTTACCCTTTCAAGGAGATAACCACGTGCTTCTAAAATAATTATTAACATGCCAAAATTAAGTGCAGAATTAATTTAAAGTTTGTTCAAATGTATCGTGAGGAAGAATGTCTGTGGAACGCCACTATTCCATCATATAAAGATAAGTCTATTCGTGATTCAGCACTACAAAAAATAAGTGGCAAATTATTAGAACTCGGCTTAGAAATGTGTATCAAAGACATAAAAATGAAGATACAAAATTTAAGAGCAACTTACTGTCAGGAACTGTCAAAAATTGAAAAATCAACTAGGTCTGGAGCAGGTTCTAAGGACGAGTATAAGTCAAAATTAAATTGGTTCGACGAAATGCACAGTTTTATTAAATGTGTACCTATGAAAAGGAAAACAATGGTAAGTAGAATTGCATTATTTATTTATTTATTTATAATACAAAGAAAATGGGTGTCAAAACACAGGGAAATTTTGAAAAAAGTCGCGTTGTCAAGGTGGCGCATACATAAATAAACAGTCAAGAAATCATTTTTAATTGCCAAGGCACCGCACCATCATTGTTAAAGTAGGTTTTAAAGGCGTCTCTTCTCGCCATTGCTGACATCGAAGAATGATTACTCCCTTGTTGACATAACATCTCAAGTCCTACAGTTTCTGTTCTCCAAGAGCCATAGGAGATGGTTCCTGCATCAATATCTTCCCGGTCGACATCACTGCTGATTAAATAATTTCGATTTTCTTTTCTCAACCAATTATCTAAAGCGCATGCTGCTAATACAATTTTGTCTACTGTTTCTACATTAGTTGCAATTGGTTTTTGGAATACACGAAATCGGCTTACCAATATACCAAAGGCATTTTCCACTATTCGGTAGTTATAAACTTTCTGTTCCTGTGTTAAATTGTCACCAGGGTAAGGTTTCATAATATAGGTTTTTAATGGAAATGCGGCATCCACAACAGTCACTCCACCCTCTGGTAAAAGATTATTCTTCAGTTTATTATATATGGAGCAATTTTTAAATACACTTCCATCTGATGCCATTCAACAAGCCCCGACATCATCATAACGAAAGCAATAGTCATCATCTACTAACGTCATAAGAACAATACTGAATACTTTTTTATTATTGAAGTACATACTTCCACTATTACCAGGAGCGATAATTTGAATATGTTTTTCATCAATGGCACCATAGCATAAAGGAAAGTTCCATCGTTTTCTAAATCCATTTTCTATTTTCGCCCATTCTTCGGCATTATTTGGTATCTGCAAAAAATAATAATATGTACCTATTTATTATAATTATTACTAAAGTGTTTTTTTTTTGTTTTAGGACAGTCAAGAATCAGCAATAGATGAAGAGCAAGATAACAGCCAAATGAGCCAAGCCAACATTGAAAATAGCAAAGAACATAATATTGACAACAGCAATGACAATAGTGATAACAGTGAAGACGTTGCAAATTCTGAAAATTTTTCACCACGGCCATCTACATCTGTGACAGGTAATATACCACAGCGTAACGAGTCTGCGACACCAACTGCGAAAACTACTAGTAAATCAAACTATAAAATGTCAACTCCAACTCAGAGAAAGAGAAAAATTGCGGAAGTGACATCATTGGTTAGGGAAATAAAGTCGATAAAGGATGATTTAAATAGTACATCTACGGATGAGCATTCTACACCACAACAAAATGAGCATGATATTTTTGGAACTTTTGTGAGTAGCCAACTGAAAATGTTATCTACTGCACGAGCTATTATGGCTCGGGACAAAATCAATGCCATATTCTCTCAGTTTCGCATGGAAGATCTGAACTGCATAAAAACCACATTTACATGCAAGACGCCTAGTAGTCATTGCTTTTCAGATTCACACACAACAATTAATACTGTACAATTACCACTTACATCAGGAGATTCGGTTTTGTCAATAATTACAGAAAATGAAGATGATTGTCAACGACAAAATCCAATCGACGAGATTAATTTCGATTTTTTACGCCAGGACAATGAGAATACTATTGCTGTAGCATTCCGCAATGCATAATTTTTTTATTTTCTTATGTGTAATTTTGTGATAAATAAAAATATAAAGTTATTATTAGTACTAACCTTTATGTTTTCTTTCAATGCCTTGAAGATTTCTTCACATACCTCTGGTATGAATTTAGATATGGAACACCTTGAAACCGGATAAAAGTGACTCAGTCTTCTGTAACTGATGCCGGAAGAAAGAAAATCTAATGTGATCTCCAATTTTACTTTTGCTGGTAAGGCCTCTCTCATAATAGTATGCTGTCGTTGAATTTTTGGCATCACAAGACTCAACAGAATATCAAATATCTGGCTTCATTCGTAGAATACTGATATACTCTTTTTCGTCTTCATTGCGAAGTTCCACGTTCACTCCTTTTTAAAATCCATGGTCTTGTCCAAACGCGTTTTTCCAATAAAGCTTCTGTTAATTCATCCAATGCAATTTGGCACAGTTTCCAAAGTAACTGTTTCAGTCGAACATTGTTTGTTTTAGAAATATTTTTCATTCTCAGTGGATTTATTGCTCTATTGATCTCTGCAATAGTACTGGCTACTGGCCTAAAATTTCCTAGCATCCTAGCAACATGTAAAACGTTCTAGCATGCGCCAAGCCAGGACAGTAACTCAGGCTAGGGTACCGGAATATCTAGCTTGCTATCCTAGCTTGAAAAACTAGCCTCGTATAATCCGGGCATAAGAGTGGGCACTCATCAGTGGAGAGCTACTAGATCCGTTTGATGTTATACGATTAAATATATATCAGGGAGGCTCCGACTTTATTTAAGAAATTATTAAATGGATATTATATATTTTTATTATTTATTTTGGGGATGCACGTGCTCATGTTCTCCTACAGTGGAACCGCCACTGCACAGCACGTGTTTTCCAAAATGCTGAAGTCAGTTCTATCCCACTTACAAGATTTTTTGTCAGTATTGTACATTGACAAAAAAAAGTTTTGTTAGATTTAGGCTTTCTGATCAATTCAAAGAGGAGTATGACTGTCCCATGCACACGAATGAGATACTTAGGTTTCTTATATAACCCAATAGACATAACTGTAAGTTTACATTTAGACAAGCAAAAACCATATCAGAACATATTCACAAACTTGTGAGCAATATTACATTTACAATCCGAAAGTTTGCTAAACTGATTGGTAAATTGATCGCTGCATGCCCAGCTATTAAATATGGTTGGCTTTACACCAAAAAATGTGAAAGAGTAAAATTTTTGGCACTAAAAAGATAAGAGGAGCTTACAATGTCGAAATGAGATTTTCTAGAGAAGTTCTAATGGACCTTCTCTGGTGGAAAATCACCTTTCAGGCAAAAATAATTTTCATAGTTTTTAGTTTCAAGCTAGAAATATTCAGTGACAGTTCCCGGTCTGGTTAGGGCATCTACTGTAACAGTTGCAAGTCCCACGGTTTTTGGTCTAAAGACGATAAGAAGCACCATATGAATTATTTAGAGTTGCTGGCGGCATTTTTTGGACTCAAGTGCTTTGCTGCAGACCTTGTGAATTGTGAAATCTTGTTGCGGATAGATAACACCACAGCCATTTCATATATAAATAGAATGGGCGATATTCAGTTTCCATATTTTCAACAGCCTTGCAAGGCAAATTTGGCAGTAGTGCGAAGAGCGTAATTTATTTATCTCCGTCTTATATAAAATCGCAAGAGAACATTATTTCCGATCAGGAATCTCGTCTTCTAAATACTGAAACAGAGTTTTCACTAACAGATTATGCGTTTAGGAAAATTTGTCGTGAGCTAAGAGTACCTGAAATTGATTTATTTGCTTCAAGCATTAACTCAAAAGGCAAGAGATTTTCTTCCTAGTTTAAAGACCCTGAAGCAGATGCGTTTACAGCATGATGGGCCGATTATGATTTCCCACCGTTTTCCCTGGTAGCCAACCTGCTACAGAAAATAATTACGTTTATGTTTCTTGGCATACTTGTGTAACCAAAGAATGTCATATAGCTCTTTGAATACAACACGCTCTGCTCTGCCCTAGCGTTGATTATATCGCCACGAGTTGGCGATAATCACCAAACCCAAAGATTTTTCAAAGGTGTTTCCAAATTGCGACCACCTTTGCCTAAATATCACGTAACATAATTTTAGGTTACCTAGAAACGTACTATCCTAATGAGACAATTTGTTTAGATATACTGACACAAAAATTATCGATGCTAATGGCCCTGGTTACAGTACATAGAGTGCAATCATTTTCACTAATAAAAATTTCTAATTCCGAAATATCGGACACAAAATAGCAATAAAGGTCCCGGCCAGAGTTAAAACATCTGCCCCAAGCAGATACCAACCCTTATTAATATTACCTTTTTTTCACAGTAACCCCAAAATATGTGCTGCAGGCACGCTTAAATGCTACTTGGATAAAACCAGTGTTTTAAGACAGTCGGGCAAACTTGCTAAACTTTTTCTGGCTTCTCACAAAGAAGCAACGGCTCAGTCTATTAGTCGCTGGATCCGCATGCTGCTAGACAAAAGTCGGATCGACACTTCGATCTTTACAGCACATAGTACTAGACACGCGGCCACATCAGCATCTGACAACAGGGGTATTAAGATCGATACGATACGTAATACAGAAGGGTGGACTGCTTCATCTGATGAGCTCGCAAAAGGTTTATAACAGACCTTTAACCAAGTCCGAGGATTTTGCAGATGCAATTCTCAGACAATAATGGGGGCGAAGTTAGAGTTAGATTACACTTGTTATATTCAGAACAAGTTTTTGCACATGGAATATTGGAGATTAAAGAATCTAGGAACTATGTTCCTCTTTCTTTTGTTCTCCCTGGAACTGTTGCAGTGTCAACTTTGAACATCTACATAGTGATCTAGAGGAAGAGGCGGGAAGTATAATTATAAGATTAAACGAACTTACCTAAGTGATGTTTGACCATAATTATGTACAGTAGAAAACTGTGAAAATCAAGGAGGCTATAAAGGCGGTCTACAATAATTGTTGGGACGACTGACGATAGCGATACGGCCCTTAATTGTAGGTAAAGTTTGAAGAATATACCTACCGTCCTCAAAAAGCACTCTTCCGATATCGTACTGCTTATACGGTACTTGTTCCTTGTTGGTACTTGCTGCTTATATGGTGAGTGGTGGCCACCACACCCGTTTCTTTCTCGGCGTCAGCCACTTTTCACGCACTATGGCAATATCGCCCCCACCACCACCAATTTCATCTGAAAATTCTATTCCTATACCAAAAGCATAGATACTGTCACGACGCTGTTCTTGATTAAACGATGAGCAGGAGCACAGTATGGCTTTTGTCAACACACTTAAACTTTAGAATTTACAGGAAGATAAAGATACGTTCACATTTCGCAAAATGCAAAATTGATGCAGGATGGAGAACGCGACGTAAGAAACAACATGAGGTTCGGAATGGGGAGCGTGGGAATGGCTTTGATTGGATCGGATGTCTGTTCAAAAACATGGTTGCCTAATGCTGCTTGTTCAAGGTCCCAAATGTTATCGAGTTGAAGAAGCTTAATGTACTTTATATAAAATTCCACAGGAAATGTACTAGACTCAATCAGAAAACAACTATTTATGAACTCTAGGAAATTGTTGATAGTATAGGTATGAAAAAAAGGATAGATCAAAGGAAGACGGAACGACACACAAAGATCAGCTTTAGCCAAAAGCATTATATAGACGCAAAAAATGCATCATTACAAAAGTAATTATAACAAGAAAACAATCTGTAGCTTTCCAAATCTGAAATATCAGTATGAAAAAATCTTGGGAGCTAATACGGGTGATTGTGATGAAAATTCTGCAATCTGGCAATGCAGCTATGACACTTTAAGGATTTTTTCGCGAGTCCACGGTGTAGCACAGTGCACTACCGGGAACCGATACTTAAATTTTCGCGAAGAACAGGAATAGGGGAAGACGGATGTGACGTCGTCCGAATGTCAAAAAATCACATGGTACGGGTACCCGCCTAACGTCTGTGAGGTACTAGCGGGTGACAGGTGTTATGTCAATTTCATTTAAAAAACAGGCATCTCAACTGAAAATTTGTCTTCACAGTGCCGAAAATTGAGTTATTTTATCAAATCATAAATGGAGGAACACGTTCACCTGATTTTAAATGACGAGGGAGAAGGTCATCAAGATATATGAACCGCTCTTGTCATACCAAACATTTTGCGCAACATGCGCCATCTAACTACTCCCGGTGTAACTTGAAACTGTCAAAACTTCGAGAGGAAGGGGAAATTCCATCTGTTCCCGCTCCGGTTCACTACGGGATCTCGCGAAAAAATCTCTTTTATAATTGTCGCTTCCCCTTTCAAGGCGCGATATTTAAAATTTATTGGTCATGAAATGGGGAAACATCGATATTATAATTAATTCTCAATCACACTTTCATATTTATTATTTCAATAAGGTGGTCGATGATTTTCAAATAATAATGACTAATACATATGTTTACCCGGCATTATTATTTATAACAAAGCTCGCAAAGCATTTTAGGTTCGATATGCGCTTTTATATTTTTGGGACCAGGATGTATCTACAAATAAATTACATCACCCAAACACTTATCATCATCATTCGGACATTTTCTATTTGGAAGATTACAATTTAAATTTATGATAAAATGCCACGTCGCGTTCACGTCTTTTCCACGTGTATAAATAACCAACACAGGTACAGATGTATTTGCGGTCAGTGTTTCATGTGGATAAAACGTCCCTCGTCGACCAGTGACGTGCTACACCGGATTTCCACGTTTTATCGATTATATTATAAGAATATAGGAGAAAATTATAACAAACTAGTACGTTTACCTTAATTAATCGGTTAAGTGACTGCAACATAACCGGATTTTATTCGCGGCAGTGGAAATTGGAATAGAGGTGTACACACGTCGTAATATTCACGTTTTATCGACTTGGTGTGGTTATATCGGACAAATTTAGTCGAAATTTGATCCATAA